GAGAGAGAGAGAGAGAGAGAGAGAGAGAGAGAGAGAGAGAGAGAGAGAGAGAGAGAGAGAGAGAGAGAGAGAGAGAGAGAGAGAGAGAGGTGAGAAAAGAGAAGGAAAAAGAAAAAGAAAAGTATGCAGGAAAAGAAGATGAAGACGAGGAGGCAGCAAGAGTTTGACAATGCAAAACCAGATTAATACACAGACGACAAGGTATGATGCGAGAAATCCGTCGGCAAAAAAGTTATGCGCCAACGTCTGTGGTAATCACAAGAGGCGACATCTGCTGAGCTCCTCAGCCCGCTGTCTCTTTGGCAGGCCGGTCAGCAGCAGCAGCAGCAGCAGCCTCATCATCATCTGCTGAMCCCGCCGCCACAAACTCTCAAGAGTCTCAACACCTTTTGAAGTCTTCGACTTTCTGGATCACCGCAAGCTCTAGCTCTATCACAAAAAAAAGTTAAGAAAACCCACTCTGCCATCTTTCTCTTGTCCATTTGTCCCCCCCCCCCAATCCTAAGACCAAAGACAACAGAAGAACATAAAAGTTGGAAAGAAAAGAAAAGAAAAAGAAAAGAAAAGACAAAGAAAAGAAAAGAAAAGAAAAGAAAAGAAAAGAAAAGAAAAGAAAAGAAAAGGAAAGACCACCCAATAGTCACCATTAAGGAGTTATGGGTTGATGATGTAGACCTGCACCTCTGTGGGACTGTAATACAAGGAAGAGTAGAGTGCAGAAAAGACCACGGTGACGTTATTTACAAAAATGACAGCTACTATCATTAATATGCGGATACTATCCTAATAATCCTATGGACCTATGCTGCCCTTGTTCAGTTCTCCGCTTGTTTTCGTCCCTCGGCATCCAAAAGTCAAAAGGAAAAAGATGCAAAAAACTTGAAAAAACATTCTAAGACTTTTAGGAGTCCATGATCTAATGTTGTTACTTATTCGTTGTATTAATCTCTTTGAGGTACTCTAGGTTGATGATGTAGACCTGCGGCTGTCTGGGACCGTGACACAAGGAAAGGCTGTGCTTTGCACAGACACTACCTACCATTATACAGAAAAAATCGCATTTGCTGTGCTACCTAGAGCGAGTACAGAAATGATAGCAATTGCCAATTGATGTGTCCAGAGGATCGTACACCTCACGAACTTGAAGCCACATTGCAGCCAAAAACAATCCACTACACCAAAGACGTGTGGCCATGGTGCGGCCAAGAACAACCCACGTGGGGGTCTCTACAGCCAAGACACATGGCCACAGTGCAGCCAAGAGATGAACCCACTACAGCCAAGACACATGGCGGTGTTCTTTTGCCTGCATGCATAGTCGCAATTCATTGGCCGCAACCCAGTGCACGTGGCGGTCTCTACAGCCAAGACACATGGCCGCAGTGCAGCCAAGAGATGAACCCACTACAGCCAAGACACGTGGCAATGTTTTTTTGCCTGCATGCATTGTTGTGATTCATTGGTTTGATAGGCCGCAACCCACGTCACGGTGGCGGTCTCTACAGCCAAGACACATGGCCACAGTGCCGCCAAGAGATGAACCCACTACAGCCAAGACACGTGAGAGTTACACAGCCTTCATACATAGTCGTGATTCCTTGGTTTGATAGGCCGCAGCTGTGAATCGCCTGTGGTAGCAACGAATGCATCCAGACTCCTGCAAGTGTACAACGCAATTCGAGCTCTCCCACTATGGCCATAGCACCCCACCATCGCCATCCTAACATCATACTAACTTCAATATGCCTGACGATCATGGCGAATTGCAGCCAAGCCAAGTGGTGTGCATTACATGGAGCATCCTGATCTGACAGGCTGTGATTGCAAATGCCACGTGGTGGCATCACATAGTGCATCGTGATCTGATAGACGGCTGTGATTGCAACTGCATCAAGCAAGCGATGAAGCTCTCTCACTGTGGCCAGACTATGATGATACTCTGATGATTACTGTGACGATACTATGATGATATATGATGATACTATGATGGCCATACTTAGCATACTATGATGATACGATTGGCACTCGCCGAAAGCTCTCCCACTGTGGCTACACCAACAACATCAATCACATCATCATATCAGGATACCAGGCAAGTCTGGTGCACGCGGCGTGTCCTCTGGTGATCCTGGCTTGGGGGGGGTGTGCGGAATGGGTGGACCTGGCATGGGTGGGGAATGAGGAATGGACGGTGGAACTGGGGTGGGAGGAAATTGGGGTGGGGGAAATGGGGGAGTGTTGGGAGGTGGAGTAGGGGTCGGAGGAAACGGTGGGACTTGGGGTGGCGGCGAAGGGGTTGGGGGCACTGGAGGGGTGTCAGGCAAAGGGGATGGGCGGGGGGTGTGCGGGGGAGGAGAGGGTTTTGGTCTTTCGGGCCCTGGGGGAGGTATTACGTCTGGTGCCGGGCTAGGGACTGGTTGAGGCGTCGGATTGGGAACCGGATACTCCGGGGGGGACTTTGGGCCCGGGGGAAACTCTGGGACACTCGGATTTGGGACCACAGGTTCCACAGGCGGTCGGATTTCTGGGACACCCGCAGGGGTCCCAGGCATCTCCTTGGGTGACACATTCGGTGGTACCTCCGGCGGAATATTGGGCGGCTGAACCACCAGCCAAGTCTTCCAAGGACCAAAGATGGGACCAAAGTTGGGACCAACGATGGGACCACCACCGGCAGCAGCCGCAGCAGCCGCCGGGACACCCGCAGGGGTTCCAGGCATCTCCTTGGGTGACACATTCGGTGGTACCTCTGGCGGGATATTGGGCGGCTGAACCACCAGCCACGTCTTCAAAGGACCAAAGATGGGACCACCACCGGCAGCAGCCGCAGCCGCCACCTTCCTGATACCTCCCATTTTGATAGGTCCGTTCCGTTTAGACCAGTCTCTTTCCGTTTGGAAGAGTCCTCTTCCCCTTTGGCCGGGAGTAACAGCAGCAGCAGGAGCAGCAGCAGGAGCAGCAGCAAGAGCAGCCGCCGGAGCAGCAGGTGCAACCCAACAGGCTGCAGACGAAGAGGACGAGGGGGTAGCAAGATGGTCCAGGAAGGGAGGAGCAGGAAGATGGTCCAGGAAGGAAGGACTGGGACTACTACCACGACCGCCATCCAGAGTTACTGACAGGAGGTGAACTGGTTGCTCCATGGTCGATAGAAGGCCTCCTGCTAGAGGAACGACCCCTGGGTGGAACAAGGAAGGACCACGCCAGACGGCGTGGTCGAGCTGCTTGACCCCCTCTAGCAGTTGGACCCGCTGCTGAGGGCTCCTCCCCCCAACAGCATGATCCCCAACTCCTCCACCTCCTCCATACGAATGGCCCAGGCAAGAAATACTCCGCAGAGTCTTCGTTCCCCTGGAGCCTCCTCCCTGTAGGTCCGCGGTACCACCCAACCCCCCCCTCCTCCTCCCTCCTGTTCGCCCCCTTCCTCTGCAGGTGGCCTTCTGAACCCCCGCAATCGCACCAGGTCCTTCAAATGAGCCCGGCCCGACCACTGTCAAATCATGTTTGGTATTTGCAACCCCATGGTATGGACGACGGTCCGCCGGGCCGAAGTCAAAGTCAACGGCCTTCGGGGCAGAGGAGGCGGGGAAGACGGCGGCAGCGACCGCAGCTCCACCCGGAGCCAATGGCGTCAGCGCATCCACGTGGCAACGACCGGTCGCAGCTGTTGGCCTGGCACAGACTCTGCTGCTTGTGTTATCTACGGCAGCCCATGGCCTGAGAGATCCACGTGGCATCGTGACAGCCGATGCAACAGCTTTCACGAATGGAGGCGCCATCATGATCATACTCGGGGCGAAATTCCACTACGGTAGCCGAGAATCTGGATGCCTTTTACGTGGAAATACGGAAAAACAGAGCAATCGCAATTGTCTGCACGTCTGCAAAAGCACGTCCAGACTCAGGTTTTCAATCCAATCTCTTTGCTACTGGGATCTCCCGTGGCTGCTCCCTTCACCGCCTCCACCTCCTCCTTCTCCTCCTCCTCCTCCTCCCTCACCCCTCCAAGCGCCCAGGTAAGGTGCGCATCTTCTACTCGACACCGAGCTCCCCCAAACGGAAAGAGCCTGTGCTCCAGAGGGAAAGACACCCTGTGCCAAAACGGAAGCCAGTGGACAGAGACTGTGTAGTGAACGGAAGGGCCTGCTGGTCTCTTTTTATTCTGGAGAGCCTGGTCTCAAGCAAGCATCCCGATCATCGGTCCTTAACCTCCGATCCCGATTGAGATTTCCCATTCGCAATCCGACGAGACGGTTGTGTTCTGATACAACCCCCCAAGCAAACAAGCCCGCTGTCCTTCAGTACCGCTGACCTGTCACAAGAGCCACAAACCACCC